CGCAACAGTTTATAAACAGAACTTCAAAGAGCAAATCTATATAGTTTTCATAAAATCTCTCTCATTCACAATTTTTGGAAAATGCTTTTCAAGTCATCCAAGTTTCAGCTGAGGCAAAGGATTTAATAATCTGAGTTATTCAGGCAAACAGCAAATAATGGTTGGATGTGTTACATTAGGGTAGTTGTTCTGAAACTTTAACATGCATGGAGTCATAAGGAAGGCTTGTTAAAACACAAATTGCCAGACTCCACCCCCAGGGGCTCTGACTGAGGAGGTCAGGGTGGGCCCTGAGAATTCACATTACTACAAGTTCCCAGGTGATGCTGATTTGATTTGATGCCACTGGGAGAGCCACTGCATTAGGAAATCACATTCCTGTTTCAAGTAGAATTATAGCTTTGCCTTTGGGGTTTTCTGCAGGGGTTGAGAACTTCCAAAAAAAAAAAAATGTAAACCTCGAAACAAAACCACTCTTTCTCGCTACAGAAACTTGTTATTGTCATAGATAAACAGTTGGGTTTTGTTTATTCAAATACCAAGAGAATTTAGGGATTATCTTAATGCAACCCAAAGGATGTAGGAGTAAATCACTATCTAGTCACAGAAAATTTGGGATGTTTGCTATTCCTTCTGCAGAGTGTGCCCCTACCCTCTGTATATTATTAGGCAGGTAACTGCAGTTGCAGGGGCCTCCCTCCAGAGCGCCTGCCTGCTCCCCAGAGGTTTTTCTTTCCAGCTAAAGGAGAACTTTCACCTAGAGCTTCCTCACATCCATGAAGAGTAGCCCTCAGACCTGGTTTTTATGGAGCATAAAATACAAAGGAGGGAAGGGAGCTACATAGGATTGCCAACTCAACTGTTATCAGGATCCCTTTATGAAAAAAGGACATTTTGACCCAGAAGAATAAAGACATACTCTCCAAGTGAAGGATAATTCTTTAAGTTGCATAATTGTATGACAAACTTCCTACTCTCTCCTCTCCATATATATTTTTAATTGCAACCAGTGCCCTAGGACTTTAAAGATCACGTCACACACACTCACACACACACACACACACACACAAAATTACTTGTAGCTTTACTTCTAGTTTTAAGTGCACTGTTATCAAATGGATTTATGGAAGCTCTGGGTGAATTAGAGATTAGTTCATAAATACAATTTTATTACTCCATTTACACACACAAGAAAGAATGACTTGAAGTAAAGGGAACAACAAACACCACGTGATATTAGGGTACACTCTGACCATACAGTGTAATTCTTAATTATATACTGATGAGAGGATTTTATTATACTTTTGATTACAAGTACTTTCTGTCTCTTCCAAATAAGAACATAAACTTCTTGAGTGTGAGTACCATGACTTCTCTTGCCTTTTATCTCTTATGTACAAAGCACACACTGGCCTGGATAAATTCATGTGGCTTCATAGTTGGGTAGATCTGCCTTGAGATTATAGTTGCCTCATTCCTTGTCAATGGAAATGTAAAACATAAGCTTTCTTAAACAGATGTTGACCTTAGTTTTCATGGGTAACACAAGTGTTAATAACTTCAGCTCAGCTGATCCAAAATACTAGCTTAGCAAATTACAAATTGATGAGTTTTTGTGCGGTATCAATATCAGATAGTTACCTAGTGCTCATGGGAGATGGGTTGCCCTTGGGTCTGAGTCTGGGTCTAGGTGAGTCCAGAAGGATATTTACATACTTCCTGGTCATTTCTTTCTTCCCCTTTAGCATTATGTATTTTCACTGTATCCTAGATGATATGTGGGTTGCTATCTGGTTACACAGCAACCAATCATGTTCTGTTTTGTAATACTAATACATTCATATCATTGGTTTTGATCCAAAACATGGGAATGATTTTTTAATATATTTTTTTAGTTGTCAATGGATCTTTTATTTTATTTATATGTGGTGCTGAGGATCAAACCCAGGGCCTCACCACATGCTAAGCAAGTGCTCTACCACTGAGCCACAACTCCAGCCCAAAAACATGGGAATTATTTTGATCATATTTTATGTTTCATATCTAAAATCCCTAAGGTGTAACTGTGGATGTACTAAAACTGTCCTTGGTTAAGATTCATATTTTAGCTATTTAGTTAGTATTGTTCTTAGAAAGCATAGTTATGGATGACACTTGGAGATGCTAAACAGTTTTAAGATTCCCTATTTAGTATTCGCACTGCAGTCTCAGAATGAGTATAGGTTAGAATCCTTACTGTGTCACTACAAACTTCACTCTTAGGCAAACTGCTAAAGATCTTTGAGCCCATTTGCTCATCTTTTAAGGAAGTACTGTATATTCTACCACCATCTGAGCATTAAATAAAATAATATTATATGTGAAAACACTCTGTACGAACCATGAAATCATACACAAGCATGATATGTTTATGCCCCAGCAATAAACAATCCATCTCAGACCCACTGAAGATGTTGTTTGCCTGTGCTCTCTCAATCATGCTTTCGTATTCTTAACACCATAATGAAAGAGTCTCATTTATAGGCCAATTTCTGCACCTAGCAATAGCTACACTATTAAAGGGTCCAGTTAGAACATGTCATTAGGTTCTTATGTGAATAAGGTTCAAACGTGTTAGACCAGAGTCACCCCTTAATATGTATAAAATGTGTGGTGTAATGGGGGACCCATAGGTGATGTTATTAAGTCCTAGTATATTCTTTATCTCTCCACATTCTGATCTACAGAAGAGGTATGAGCTATTTTTGTAAAAAAAATAAAGAGATAACTGATATTATTTAGTTTTTGTTTGGTGTTTAGTTTGAAAAAGACCTTGATCATTGGTCATGGTGGCCCACATCTGTGATCCCAATGGCTCAGGAGGCTGAGGCAGGAGGATTACAAGTTAAGAGCAAAAGCAAGGTGCTAAGCAACTCAGTGAGACCCTGTCTCTAAATAAAATACAAAATAGGGCTGGGGATTTGGCTCAGTGGTTGAGTGACCTTGAGTTCAATACCAAAAAAAAAAAAAAAAAGAAGACGACTTTGATCGTCATCATCATTAGATTAAAAGATTTTGCAATTCTTGTACCTTAGGAGATGCTATCATATATATACTCAGGACCCAGATATAGGAAACTTGGCTTTCAGTGTCCAAATCTAGTAACCCTTTCACCCTTAGATAATGTAATAATTAGGGGTAGGTAAGTGGTCAAGGGTATGACACTAGCACCTATATCATAGGGTAGTTGTGTAGGTTGTTAATATATAAAGCACAAGACAGAGTTGAAACCATATTGCTATGTAAGTATTAGGTAATATTACTATTAGTATTGTTTTTATAAAGTTTAATTTACTAATATTTGTAGTCATTGAATGTGACCCATTTCTAGGGTAAGAAGTTGAATTTTTCTAACTCCAGTAATTTCATATTTCATTTAGTGAAAACAAAACGAACAAAAAACATGTTTTTTTTTAAACATTCCACCTCTGCCTGTAAAATCCATTAAATCCTCTGAAGTGATCAACATCTGCTGCAAATGTAAAAGAGATTGTGCAATGGGGATAGAATGGAATAATATTTTTCGTTCAAACTCGACAGTGACACTGATTCATGGCAATCTGATTTGTATTGAGCGAGTTCTTACAAATATAGACATTTAATATATTACTCAAATAATAAAAAATAACTTGGCCAGGTGCAGGGGAATGTGCCTGTAACCCAAGTGACTTAAGATGCTGAGGCAGGAGGATCACAAGTTCAAGGCCAACCTGGGCAATTTAGCCAGATGCTGTCTTAAAGTAAAAATTTTAAAAAGGGTTAGAAACATAGCTCAGTGGTAGAGCACAATGGGTTCAATCTCCAGTACTGAAGGAAAAAAAAAAATTTCAGGAAAAATAACTCCATCATAGTCTTTGCAGCCATTGAATAAAAGGGGAAGAAAAATATTTCCTAAGTACTGTGTAATTTAAGACCATAAATACATTATTAAACCTTTTTTCATAGAGAAGCTATCTTTCTCAATAGGGTAAATGATAGAATTAAACCTTTTTTTGTATTTTGATGCCTATTTTTCTTAAGATATTATTTAAATGACAGAGTTTTTTGTTTTGTTTTGTTTTTTCTTCTTTTTTGCATCAACAGTGATTGATCCCAGGGCCTCATTCACCCTAGGCAAGTGCTCTATCACTAAGCTACATTCCCAGCCCAAGGGTTTGTTTATTGACTGATTTATCTTACTCTCATTTAATGATAATCACTAGTTATGAAATGTATAGAACAATTTACAGACTGCATCCTGAATGAGTCTAGACAATTTTGGTTTAAAAGGTTGTTTGTTTGTTATGGTTTTTCTGTCTTCTCTTTTAAGTTGTTACTTGGCATCAAGGTAGTTTTCTTTGCCTCTAGCTGCATGTCTGATGTGCTGTCTGATTTGCTGAAAGCAGAGTGACTGTGCTTGTTAGACTATGTTTTTGTAAAGAAGTTCTGAGTAGATACTTCAATCTCTTTCCCCTGGTACGGTACAGTACCTTGCTGCTCCAGGAAGGGGTCTACAGATCAGCAGCACCTTTATTAGAAAAGCAGAGTCTTGTGTCTCCCCGCCTCCTGCAAACCTATTAAATCAGAATCCACATTTTAACAAGATTCCCAGGTAACTTGTATGCACATCAAAGCTTGAGAACTCCTACTTGGCAGATTAGCTGTGTGCCAGTTGATTTCCCCATTTAGAAATCCTTTTTTAGTGGCTGGGCTTGTAGCTCAGTCATAGAGCACTTGCCTAGCACATGTGAGGCACTGGGTTCGATCCTCAGCACCACATAAAAAAAAATACTTAAATGAATAAAATTAAAGATGTTAGAAAATCCTTTTTTTAGCTTACAAATGGTATCTTGCTGTGTTCTAGGTTATACAGCATGCCAAAATATTTTACCACTAGAAATGCCTGACATTATTACGATGTCTAGAAGTGTTCTAAGTTTGGCATTAGGTAATTGGTGAACATTTTATTTTCTCTCCCCTAGGATATTCCTGGTGACCCTGAAAGAGTCCATATCATGGAATCAATCTCTATGATGGGAAGCCCTAAAAGCCTTAGTGAAACGTTTTTGCCTAATGGAATAAGTGGTATCAAAGATGCAAGAAAGGTCACTGTGGGTGTAATCGGAAGTGGGGATTTTGCCAAATCCCTGACCATTCGGCTTATTAGATGTGGCTATCATGTGGTCATAGGAAGTAGAAATCCTAAATTTGCATCTGAATTTTTTCCTCACGTGGTAGATGTCACCCATCATGAAGATGCTCTAACAAAAACAAATATAATATTTGTTGCTATACATAGAGAACATTACACCTCTCTATGGGACCTGAGGCATCTGCTTGTGGGTAAAATCCTGATTGATGTGAGCAATAACATGAGGATAAACCAATACCCAGAATCCAATGCTGAATATTTGGCTTCATTATTCCCGGATTCCTTGATTGTCAAAGGATTTAATGTTGTTTCAGCTTGGGCACTTCAGTTAGGACCTAAGGATGCCAGCCGTCAGGTATGTAATTTTGAACTTCATTCTTATTTATCTGGTATTTGGTGGTTAACAAATAGCAGATATTTTAAAACCAAATTCTGACATTCTCCAATGACTATTTTGAAAACTGTGTATGAGCATTTTAAGATTAATGTCCTGACCTTATAAAGGCATATTTCTATTTCCAAAAATTATGAGGAAAGCTGAAAAATATGACATTTCTGTCATAACTAGTTAATTAAAGAAAAGGCAAGTTTAGCTGATAAATAATGTGACAGTGCATTGATTCTCTCCTGGAGTCCTCCAAAACAGAAACAGTAACAAACAAGTCTTTTTCTTTCCTTCTTTCCCTCTTCCCTCCCTGTCTTCCTTCTTCTTCCCCTTCTTCCTCCATGGCAAAAGCTACTAGGTAACACAGTATTTCACCTCTGAATAAAATACTATTCAATATGATCCTTTAAGTAGTATTTCAGACTAAAGGACTTTTTTTATTTTTAAATATTCATAGAATATAAAGTAGTACAGTTTAAGGGTAGATTTCAACCCGTGTAGGACAGGTAAAGACTAGATTTCTTACGTTTACTTTCAGCAAGCATCTATGGACAGATAGTTCTTTATCTAGTTCAACTTGAAAGTGAAACAGATGGCAAGTTCTGTTGGTGCCCCTGGAATGAATTTTACTTTTACTTCTAAAAGTAAACACATAAAATAGTGTACTTTGAAAAAGTTGTGCTTATGTGTTAAAATTAAATATGATAAAATGATGTTACGATTTTTGTCCATAAAGATAGCTGTTAAACATTCCTTAGAAAATAAATGCATTATATCATTATATGGTGTATATCAGAGTCATGATAATAATTCAGTTTCCTTTTTTAAGTATCTTTCTAATTACAGATGAATACAATAACTTTCTTTTATTTATTTATTCTTATGTGGTGCTGAGGATCGAACCCAGTGCCTCACTCGTGCCAGGCAACACACTACCACTAAGCCACAAACCCAGCCCTGTCATTTACTTTCTTTATTTTAAAGACTAGCAAAACAATACATATTTTCCCAGAGGCTATTTCCTTTTCTTTCTTTTTTTTCTGTTCTTTTTTTTTTTTAACTTCTTTTTTCAATACTGGGGATCAAACTCAGGGACTCACTCAAACATGCTAGGCACATGTTCTACTACTGAGCTACATCCCCAACTTCTTGAAGTTATTTCTTAGTCCTTTTTGTTTTGTTGCATATCCACCAAAGTTTTGCAGTGGATAAACATAAGGCAAATTAGAGCCAGGACCTGAGAGTCAAACGTGAATTTAATCCTTCATTCATATTTGTTATCATTTAAATTTTCCAATGGAAAAAATGTGGAACAATGGTTAAATTCAAAATGAGCTACAGGAATAGTTTAATTTGTAATTTCATAGTGGGTGTGCCCCTTTTGGAGTGTTTGGTTTATACTTTTAGATTTATTATAATATTTATCACTTATGAGAAAAAAAAGTTTACTCCATTGTCACAACTAAAATGAATTAATTTAGAATGCTTTTCTTATTTCTTTGATATAAAAGGATCTCCATGTTAGAAGTTCATGAATGTTTGTGTAATGGTATAGAATTCAACTGGCTAATGTTAAGCTGAAATTCATGATCCAAAGAGCTCTACATAGCCACCATTGTGTATATAGACTCAGCATGCAAATGTTGCAGTGTGGCTTATTTCAGAGCCTTTATACAAACATCTTTGGTGATATATTTAGAAATTTGTTTTCCCCAAACATTACTGGAGATTTTATACCAATATTTTTCTAGCCCTAAATGAGATGACTTACCCATTAGTAACAGTAGCTCACTCCTGCAATGAACTTGGTGCTCAACAAATATTTGTTGAATTTTTAACTCCATTACAGTACCAGTGAGGTACTAGGAGAGCTAAGTTCATTTGAAAGCCTAACCTCACCCCAACCTATACTATTATTACATTTCCTATAGAGATAATATCTTAGTCCTAAAAAATGGAAGTTGCTTTCCTATTTAAATTAACTATTTTTATTTGTCAGGAATAGCATCATTATTTAAAGAAGAAAACATTTTGTAGACTTACCAATGAAGTAATATACCTGAGATTATCCATGGTTTTTCAGAGATACTTGCTGAATTGTGTTCTAAACCTAAATTTTATAAATTGTACAGTATCATAACATAATTTAGAGGTTTTAATTGCAAATGCCACTATCCAAAGTTCATGCCCACATTCACTGTTGCTGAATATCTGTAAAAGGTGGTGCTTATAATTACTTACGAGGCAGAATCACTACAATCCAGAACTAAATCTTGTCCACAAAATCAAGAGCCAGCCTCACTCTGTTTCCTATAAGAGTTACAGAGCTGGGGAGGAGCAGAGATTGCCAGCAGCTCATATTCCACCTGTGCCTGAAGGGGACACTTTACTATGCTGCTGCTATTAAACTGAGGGTCCTAGAAAAGTGCACCTTTCCTTCCAGCTGCCTCCCTTGCCCTGAGGACTCCCCTCTGTGGATCCCAGGTTTCCAGTAGATTTTTTATACTTTATTTTCTTGTTATCATAGGTGATAAGGACTTTGTGTATGTTTGTTTTTAATGACATTATTTAAAATCTATTGATAATAGGTTGGTAAATTAATCAGTGCTTTATCTCCTGAATTTTAATCATTTGCATTGCTCAAAGCCCTTACAAGTGATGCATCATGGATTAAGTAGAGCATGTGATGAACGCAACTTTTATAAACCAATAATAATAATGAGTTTTTTTGTTTTTCCTGCAGGTTTACATATGCAGCAACAATATTCAAGCTCGACAACAGGTTATTGAACTTGCCCGCCAGTTGAATTTCATTCCTGTTGACTTGGGATCATTATCATCAGCCAGGGAGATTGAAAATTTGCCCCTGCGACTGTTTACTCTCTGGAGGGGGCCAGTGGTGGTAGCCATAAGCTTGTCCACATTTTTCTTTCTTTATTCTTTTGTCAGAGATGTGATACATCCATATGCAAGAAACCAGCAGAGTGACTTTTACAAGATTCCTATTGAGATTGTGAATAAAACCTTGCCTATAGTTGCCATTACTTTGTTGTCTCTGGTATACCTAGCAGGTCTCCTGGCAGCTGCATATCAGCTTTACTATGGCACCAAGTATAGGAGATTTCCACCTTGGCTGGAGACCTGGTTACAGTGCAGGAAACAACTCGGATTACTAAGTTATTTCTTCACTGTTGTCCATGTTGCCTACAGCCTCTGCTTGCCGATGAGAAGGTCAGAAAGATACTTGTTTCTCAACATGGCTTATCAGCAGGTACTGAAAGTGCTTATTATTTATCTGACGCTAGTCAACTTTATCAATATAAATTGTGAAACATAAGACTTAAAATAGTGTAATATTTTATATACCTTGTCATGGAAATATTCTGCTGGTATATTTTGGGAGGGAAAGAATTGTTCTTTAAATAGTTACTTTGCATAAGAATTATGTGACTCATTCAAAATCATTTCAGGTAAAAACAACTACTATCTCCTTTACAGAATACAAGCTGGGAAGTTGAGGGTTATTTGGGGGGTTTTCCTCCCTTTTAATGTTATGATGGTAATGACTGTTTCTAACATTGAACAATTAACAATGTTAATAACATTGTTAATGTTAAAATAACATTAATAATTTTAATGTTTTATAATCAACCATGGTCCACAAAATAATGCAACTCATGGTAAACTTGTACACTGAAATTAGAACCAGTAAATATACAAAACAAAATAGAAACTCAGATCAGGAGAAAAAAAGTAGTATGTACCTCTGCTGGCTAAGAATGTCTATGTAGCTTCTGTTTTGGCTTTGAGATTTCTGATACAGTAAAAAAGGAGACATTGTTAACAATGTCTTGTTGGTTCTTGTTGTCAAAGAGAAGAAAAATATACTAGTTCCTTTGGTGAAGCTTTTCTAGCACTTAGCTCTCCCAGAAAATCACAGGGAGACCTTCACTGGAGAAACTTGATGATGAGGTTGACTGATCTCACTAATTCCCATTCCACAAATGTAAAATGAGGGATTTCACTGAAGCCATTTGGTGTAGCATTTCTCAAGAAAGCCAAGATCACTGCACCAAAACAAATGTGTAAAAGCATTTATATTTTATAAGAAACCAAGACATCATAGTCCGAGTATGTAGCATCTACTACTTCAGCTTGTTTCAACAATAGAACCTAAAATAATTGTCTGAGTTAGTAGATGGATGTCCTTCAAGCCATCTGCTCTCTGAAAGTACCACTTCTCTTAACTGAATACTAAGGCTTTGATATCTGCTCATCCAGCTTCCTCACCTCCTTCAAATTTTTGCTCAGCTCTTAACTCAATGAGGCCTACAGTGGACACTCTTTAAGTTCCACCACTTGCCTCCAACCCAGGCACAGTACTCACAGGCCCTCTTAACCCTGTTCTAAGTTTCTTTTTCCAATAGCACTTACCACCCCATAACACACTTTTTGTTTTCATTGTTTGTTATATTTTCTGTTGTCTGCTTTCTCCCATCAGAATGTGAGTTCATGAGAGGGGGGAATCTTTGTCCCTTGTTGTTCTGTAATGTATGGCTGATTCCCAGAATTCTGCCTGGACACAGTATATGCTCAAAAAGTCTATTTGTGTGCCAGGCGTGGTGACTCATGCCTGTAATCCCAGCAGATGGGGCAGGGGTGATGCTGAGGCAGGAGGATCAAGAGTTCAAAGCCAGCCTCAATGAAGGCAAGGCACTAAGCAACTCAGACCCTGTCTCTAAATAAAAAAATACAAAATAGGGCTGGAAATGTGTGTGGCTCAGTGACTGAGAGCCTCTGAGATTCATGATTGAGTGCCCCTGAGTTCAATCCCAGGTACAAAAAAAAAAAATATATATATATATATATATATGTGTGTGTGTGTGTGTGTGTGTGTGTGTGTGCGTGCGTGTGTATTTATTTATTTATTTATAGAATGAACTGGGAGGGGAGGTAGATCTGAGTTGTAGTCTCTCAATGTACCAGGGTACATTTATTGTATCGTAGGAACATGGAACAAGATGCTAGGAGCCTTTTTCTGGTATGATTGCTTCATGGAACTCAGGGCTAAGAATTAGCCTTTTTTTCCTTTTTATTTTTTTTTTTAATTTCAAGTCTGTTTTGTTAACTAAAACTAGACAAAGTTAAAAAGCTATTGAGTAAGAATGTGTTTTCCATGAATAGATATTTAAGTCAAAACTGCAGCTTATCTTTAAACCTCTGATTTATGTTCTAATTATATTGTTTGAGAATAAATAGATAATTCTAAAAGCAGTTTCTATGCAAATTACCACAAATTCATAGTTATGTCTGACTTGATTATACATTAATTATCAATGTAAGGGAAAGATATTTGGAAAAATACTGTATATGCATGAGGTATTTAGATTTTGAAAATTATATTAATGAGGTGATTCAAGTGAATAAATATTTCAGCTTCATAGAGCTGTATCCTCAGGAAATCCTATTTTCCTAGGCAAGAAAGATAAGAAGAAATAGATGGACAAACACAGATATGCATGTAGGGAATGAAGATGCAAAAGTAGCTTAGAAATTCCCTGCCTGAATTCTATGTTAAACGAAGGCCAGAATGTACATAAAATACTCAAACAACTATAAACGAACTTGTAAGAGTCCCTCTGAATTAAGTCTAACTGCCAGTACTTCTTTTGTGTTCCTGGGGGAAGCAACCAGGGGGCATTTCATAGTCTTGGATCCCAGAGTCCCAGTAACAGACATGCCCTGCACACATGGTGGCAGTTGTTTGCCACCTTTGGCTTGCACATGTGCAAGGAGGAGAAAGTGTGAGTCCTGTTTTTGTTTAACATCCCCTTCCTTTTCCCTTACACCAGGAACAATACCAAACAGTAATAGGTTTTCCAAGTGGTTTGTTAAATGGAAATAATACAACGTAAGTGTGTCCGTATATGACCTGGTTCTTAAGCCAAGAGTAAACTCAATGTTGAATCAGTTAATGTACTACCAAAAAAAAAAAAAAAGGAAATTCACGTTTGTTTTCTTGTTAGGTTCATGCAAATATTGAAAACTCTTGGAATGAGGAAGAGGTTTGGAGAATTGAAATGTATATCTCCTTTGGCATAATGAGCCTTGGCTTGCTTTCCCTCCTGGCTGTCACTTCCATCCCTTCTGTAAGCAGTGCTTTAAACTGGAGGGAATTCAGTTTTATTCAGGTATGTGAAGTTTTGTTTGTTAGGGATTGGGCAGCATAGAATTTCATTGTTAAGCAAATTTGAATTTTAAATATACTTCTTATTAAAAGAGTGCTTTTGGGGTTATATTCATGCATCTAATTCATAATGCTAGAATCCAGTTAGTACCACTCTGATTTAATAAGTGAAAAACCAGTAAATCCTTGTACTAGAAGACTTTGATAGCACTGTCCCCTATGTGAAGGACAAAGGTTACTTTATTAGGAAAGAAAAAAATGAAAGTGGAAGAAAATAGATCACATTTAGTGCTAAAAGTCAATTTATTATTAACCAAATGAATGAAAAATTATATTTTGAGTCATCTTGATGTTTCTGGGGAAAAAATCTTATTAATTTGAATACAAGTATGGAGAAAGTAAGTCTAAATATTTTAAAGAAATATGTCAAATTAGGTAACCAGGTTAATGGATTATGACAAGCAAACAACCCTGTGAATCTAGTTAGTATATATATTTAACATATCTTCATATACTAATGTATAAGAGTATTTGTAGAGGAATTTTAAAATACCATTGTGTTCTTTAAAAAACCATTCTTCTTTTCCAGTAACATCTATATAATGAATTTGCATATTTTAAAAATTTATAAGCCAAATTTAAACTCTACATATAGGATCACAAAATCTGTACTGGTTGCATACAAATGGTTTATAGCACAATATATGGATCAGTACTATAAAAAAGTGCTATAAAACAAAGTAAATTTTGTTTCTCTGCCAATATATTTGAACTTTATTCTTAAAGTCATGTAAAAAAACTATATTCAAATTAAGAACATAACCTTTGTCTAAATTCATCTTTCCTTTCTGAAGAGAATGTGAAAACTTTCCCAATTTTGGTTAATCATACATGAAAAGAAATAGAAGACCCTCTGATTAAAGGCCCACCTTTTATGCTAGACAGGTGCATATTATCATAAATTTAGATGAGTAATTGCAAACATTCTGCCTGCCAGAGTTGATATTTTCCTGGTGAAGTCAGACATTACATCATTATACTGATTTAATATTACTTTTATGTAACAAACCATTTCTCAAAGTAAGCAATCTTATACATACTAATTTAGGGAACTGAAGAATGCTGATCTTTTAGAATTTAACCTATAAACTGCCTAACTACAGTACTCTTAATAATTACATTCACTATGGTCAATAAAGCTAACGTTTGAATTGGTATTTCTATTTACATATAAATATTATAAGATTTTTCATATTTTCCTACTAACTAGTATGTATATAATATGTATGTGTACTCTTTATCATTTATGTTGCATGTATTCAAGTGTGTGTGTGTGTGTGTGTGTGTAATACATACAAATATACATAGCTGGTGGGAATGTGGATAACCTTTATAAATAAGAGTTTAGCATTGTGTATCAGTATTCTTAAGGAAAATTAAAGTGTTTTGACTAATAATGACACTAGTAGAAATCATTCTTAAGGAAATAAGCCTAAATATAGAAAATGACCTAAAGTTATATTATTTATAGTTGAAGAATGTTGGAAATGGAGTAAATGAGCAACAAAAAAGAATTATTAAATAAATTATGTACATCATTCAATCAAATAATATTAACATCCAATTTGGCACTGTGGCACATACCTGTAATCCCAGAGACTTGGGAGGCTGAGACAGGAGAATTCAAAGTTCTAGGCCAGCTTCAGTCACTTAGTGAAGCCCTAAGCAATTTAGCAAAACTCTATTTCAAAATAAAAAATTGAAAGGGCTGAGTATGTAGTTTAGTGATAAAGAACTCCTAGGTTCAAGCCTCAGTAACACCCCCCAACCCCCACTCTCCAGCCCCCCCCCCAAATGTCCTGTTTTCATTTTTAATTACATGAACATGTTCTTGATACAATAGACTATTAAAATAATGTATTGATTTTGGCCCTATTTATGTAAAATAAGGTGTGCATGTAAATAGTAAGCATGTAATGTATAAAATATGAAAGTGTTGAAGGTTGTTTAATTCGGAGAGGACAAAGAGTAGTTCAGTAATTTAAAAAGACAAAATAGTTTTATCAAGATATAATCATGGTATATCTGGATAGGTTAATTCATGAGTTTGAATATTTGTTATCTTATTGTTTTTTTTTTCTTCTTCTTCTTCTATCCCAAGTCTACACTTGGATATGTTGCTCTGCTCATAAGTACTTTCCATGTTTTAATTTATGGATGGAAACGAGCTTTTGAAGAAGAGTACTACAGGTTTTACACACCACCAAACTTTGTTCTTGCTCTCGTTTTGCCCTCAATTGTAATTCTGGGTAAAATTGTATTATTTCTTCCATGTATAAGCAGAAAGCTAAAAAGAATTAAAAAGGGCTGGGAAAAGAGCCAATTTCTAGAAGAAGGCACTGGAGGAACAATTCCTCATCTTTCCCCAGAGAGGGTTACAGTAATGTGATGATAAATGGTGCTCACCCCGCCATATCAAGTGTTACTCACATCATTATTTTTATGACTTCCTCTGTGTTTGGTTGTACATGTGCTGTCAAATAACTATGGTTTGAAAATCTGTTAAGTGATATTTCAGTTGAATTAGTAATAGAATTTTCTCCAAGTTAGCTTTCACAAATGTCCTATTTTGCCAATATGAATTTTTGTAGTCAACATATTGTTGAAATGTAGGTATGTTTTGTTTTGTTTTGCATAACTGTAACACTATTGTTGTTTTATCTATATTTCATAATCAGGCAATGTATATATAATTAATAATATAAATATATGTTAAAACAATATGCAAACCAGCAGAATCTGAAGCTTTAATATGATTCAATGGATATGCTCTTTTCTGAAGCTTAAGTAAGGCTTTAATTATTATCCAATTTAATAAACAAAATTGTATAATTATACATTATTAGAAAAGGACAATTATGTTAATATCTAGGTAATGGTACATGGTAACATCCATATACTTCTCTCATAAGATACGAGTTGAAGATTGTAATTAATTGTATGAAGCAATGTGTTTAATTAAACAAACACAAATTAAAAAGACAAACTTGAAATTATATTTAAAATGCACTGTAGACATGAAATACAACTGATAAAACACAACTCAAGGAAGATTTTATTTTTTATCATGTTACAGAGCAGTTTAATTTTCATCTTAATTAAATTGAACAGGGAAAGGACTCAGAACTATTTGGCCTCCAAAACTGATGTATATACACATATATATATTATGTATATACACATATATATATAAATAATAGTATCTGTCCTGGAAATTGGATATTATTCTTAGAGCAAAAGTACAGGTTTAGATATGTATGGTGATGCTCATCTATAATTCCAGTGACTTGGGAGGACAAGGCAGGAGGATTGCAAGTTCAAATTCAGCCTCAGCAACTCAGTGAGGACCTAAGCAACTTAGCAGTGACCCTGTCTAAAAATAAAAAAAGCTGGGGATGAAGCTCAGTGGCAAAGTGCCCCTGTGTTCAATGCCCAGTACCAAAAAGCAAAAAAAAAAAAAAGTGTACATATTACATACAAGTAGTTATTTCTCAGATGAGCTTTGCTGTTGCACCTTAGTTATCACCACTCTCTGTGATAGGGGATATTACTGATGCTCATTCTAGGATTTTAAGTACTAGGCATGGTTGTATTACCCCACTTAATGCTTATAAACATTAAGCTCAAAAACATGTGAGAAAGACAGTTATCTTCATTTTACATAACTGAAGGATAGAAAAGTTATTTTCCCAAGGTCACACAGAGGCTCAGTAAGCATTCAAGTCCAGGCAGACATGTTCCAGAAGCCAGGCTTTAATCACAAGGCTCTACAGCCCCTGCTCCATCCCCACACATTACATTCATGATGCCAGCCTAGATACCTTCTCTCTTGTATAAAAGCAGCAGCATTCTTTAGAGTAGGTCGTGTGCATCAAAAGATATATGAAACTCTGCCAATTGTAAATTTATTATTGCTTGCAAGTAAGTCCATAGTTATTTACCTGGCCTGGAGTGTGAGCCTGGAGACCCCCAATAGTGCATATACCCACCTCTGCAGTGAAGACTCAAGCAGAGAGAGGACCACAGCAGTGATAATGAAATTACTGAAATCTTGCAGAATTAAAAAAAAATCCCTGAAAAATTGGATATCTCCTTTTCTCTTCCTGAGAGGCCTCCTGCCTGTACAACCATTCATTAAGGAACAATTTATTAGCATGAAGGATATTAAGATAAGTGGTTAATTATACATCTAGAGGCATATAATCATATTATTCATAAAATTTCTCAGTGCTGACATTCCACATGTAAACTGCATTTTGTTCAAACCTTATAATATCCTACATTTTCCTCATTTTCTCTTTCTTACTAAAATAGGAAGTTGCAGACGAGATACAATTATATCCATTCCTCTTCCTGAAATTATGTCATTTCTCAACTTACCTATTGACTTGAATCCAGTTGCCAAAAAAAAAGGACTTACTTAGTGTAGTCTACCTTTCCTGCCAATGATTCTTCTCCTACGACTGCACTGTCAGTCTGGTAAATCTCTCAACCTTCTCTGATGTTCTCTTTTTGGTGAATTTTAGTACCTTGTACTTCCTAATTGAGCTCTCCATTTTCTTTGTGTTAATTACATCTCTCCCCTCTAAATAATCCCCTTCTTGTTAGTTCTTGGTAGGAATTCAGTTGGGTGATAACTGTTAGGGATAACTACTTAACCATGCTATTATTGTGAACTAGTGAAAATAGCTTGTTTTCAATGCTTTTCTTGATCCTTAAATTTCATTCTCAAGACTATGCTTTACTCATTTAATGTGAAAATACAATGAAATATTTCCAAAAGTTAAGTAAATATTAAAGTTTATTGTCATATGTATATTTTAAGTAGCCAGTGATATGAATAAAATTATCACTAGTACAGATAATTGAGAACATGGAAAATGTGAAAAAACAAACTGATGAACATGTGTAAACGAAGCAAATATTATTGCACATGACAGTATTTCTTTTGCATGCTACAAAAACAGAATAATTTTGAAATTTTAGAATAAATGTAATTCTAACATTTAATGGCCTTTCTAAAAGTGCGAGTCTATTGATTTTCAATTGCTTTATTTTACTGCTTCTGTGAGTTTTTTCCCCTTATTTTTCATATCTTTTACTTTTTGGAATCATTTTTTTGGCCTCAGTAGTAGAACTAAATTTTGCTGTTGCTAGATGTGAGGAGGTGGTGGTGGGCACATTTAGAAGAGTAGAGATTTATTTCCTGATCTGTGTTTGAGAAGTGGCCCTGAGAAAATCGTAAGAATGTAGAACATATATATTCCCAGTTTTTATCCTATGCAATGAAAATCAATTTTTTTCCTATGAGGAAACCAACCATGAGCTATATCAAACTACTTAGCTTTTGTATACAGATTTCATATCTCCTTTTAAGAATATTTAATATCACATTTAGATATAATTATATTCATGGTAACATTTATTTTTCAAAGTGTACATGAAATTTAGCCCAGACTGTCTACATATGAGATTTTTATTTAAATTTAAAAATATTTAGACATATGAATAAATTATATTTATAGTTGTTTATCAGAGGTAATTATTTTGTGCTACATACAGGGTTAGTGTTCAGATGACTAATTAATTTCTTCTAAATTATTACAACCTTGAGTTGACTAAAGAATTTTACTTTCAAAATTAATTTAATAATAGTAATATTAGATATATTAATACTTACAGCCAAATTGTGAAAATTACTTGTGTAAAAGGGCTTCAAGAATATATCAGATCCAATTTTTGTATTATTTATCTCTTATGGAAAACAACTTTACTTATTTTAATTGTCTTTTGCCATTAAACTACTCCATAAAAAATTCTGTTCAGAGAACATCCCCTGCTCCAAAAAGAGGTTTATTTATGATATTTAACTTTTGTTTGTTGGTTTTAAATAATTGTACCATAAGTGTAATTCAAAAGTATTTCCTTAGGAAAACTGTAAACACTGAGCTAATTATACCTATGTCTAGCTATAAAATCCTTGTTTTGAAATAAGTATTTAAACAGCCTAAAAGATTGTGTTTTAATTCTTTCATAAATTCACAACTTAAAGCAGTGCTGGCAGGGTGCGATGGCTCATGCCCGTAATCCCAACGACTCAGAGACTGAGTGAGGCAGGAGGATTGCAAGTTCTAGGCCAGCCTCAGCAATTTAGTGAAATCCTGTCTTGAAATAAAGGGATGTAGTTCAATGGTAAAGCACCCCTGGGTTTAAATCCCGGTACAAAAAAAAAAAAGAAAGAAAGAACAAACAAAGTAATGCTATCATAGTACACTTCAGTCTAGTGTTAAGGTTTATATTTGTAATGTGTCTTCATGAAAATGAGATGCTCCACCCTCAATTGTTCATAAGTCAGTAAAGGAGATTGTGGTATACATTCAGAATAGGCAATTAGCTCTAAATGAAATCATAATAATTTTAGTGGAAACACAATCTGTTTGGACTTTAAACAGTGAATTTTACAGGAATGAATAGGTTCTTGGGTTTTTTAGTGTGAGGAAATTATAAAGTACTTAATTTTCAGTTTGTCCATCTGATATTAAAAATATTTTTGTTCATCCTAATATACATAAATACTGATTTTTTTAACTTTACAAATCATTGAATTTTCATTGTCCCTTCTTCCAAAATTAAGGCTGACTACAAATTCTTCCATTTGCTAGATGGACTAAAAGCATCTGCTTTTCTATGATTTCCAAATTGCAAACTTCAAGGAAATATTCTGTCCAAGATTTTCTTCCAAGGTCTTTCATAGCATTGCAGATGGTGAGCATGAACAGGGACTGGAAATTGTTTTCCAGTGTCTATTTACCCTACTTCTATTCTATAAAAGCAGCCAATCATCAGTTTTCAGCTGCCCTTGCAGTTGGCTGTCTGTGCTGATGAATTCTCCAAGGAAGGTCACAGCTCTTTATCATCCCTCCATCTTGCTGCTGGGGTTATGGATACAGCAGGATCTGGAGCAACTATTCCCAAAACTCAAGGCTATACCCTAAGGAAGATAGATTAGAGACTACCAGAAATACTATAACAATTTCACTACTTCCACAGTTTTTTCTTGCATTAAGTATTATAAATTTGGGTTTCTTTGTTAGATGAAGTCAAAATTAATTCTTTCTGGTCTTCAGTTCTTTATCTTAATGGCATTTAATACTGTTGATTAATATAGACTGCAATAATTCTTTTAAAAGCTTTTAAAGGATAATATGCAATTCACATTAAAAGTGATTTTCCATTGCTAATTAACTACTCATTTTCTTGCCTTGATTTTTTCATCTGATGTTTTGTACCTGCTTGGAAAATATGGATTTCTTTGTAACTGTGTAATTCACATTTGCTAAAACTATGTAATCTCTAATATACTGCTATCAAGTTACATGCCATGTTTTTATATCATTCTCATAGATCTGCCTTATACATATTTAAATAAAAAGTACTATTTAATGTTTTAATTTCTTTTTCGTTTTGGTGGTGCTGGGGATACGAACCCAGGTCCTTGCACATGTGAGGTATTAACTTCTCTTTTGAAATGTTATTGTGTATAAATGGATTGTTTTATCTTACCTAATATCAGTATTTGATTGAAGTTACTACTTTTCTGTGTCTTTAAGAAGCATCCAGAAAGCAATCGTGTGATGGTCTTATTGGGTGGGAGGGCATTTTTTTTTAATCCAAGTAGTCACTTAGGACAGCCTCCATATTTAATGAGGTGGTACTCTTTAAAAACATATTTATTTTCATTAAGCATTTTAAAATCAAAATACACACTATATTCAAGCTATTCTATAAGCTCCCTGGTATCAGGGATGTTGTCTTATTCACTATTGAATCCCTGGCATTTAGTGCAGTATAGTCTAGATAGATACAAAAGAGATGTTATAGTGAATCATGACTCATTTTATAGAAAATTATTATTTATCACCTCACATCTGTGACACCGTGTCTGTTTCTTCCTGTCTCTTGCCCACATTCCTCCCCAACATTGCCTCCACCTTTTGCCTTGCCTCCTGGAGCTGCCCTGTTCTACTAGCAAGGAGTCACTGCTGCCACCATCACCACCATCACCACCACGCTGCTTTATGTTGAGTTCTGTTCACTGCAGCATGGGGAGAAACCCACCTCTGTGCCTGTGCATAGGGCCTGTGGAGGCTCTGCATGAAAACGTGTTAGTCTTGATGACAGGATTACCACATAAAATACAGGCCTTTCAGTTAAATTTGGATTGCAAACAATGAATAACTTTTTACTATGTTATAAGTATTTTTTTCTTTTTGCTAAATCTTACAACCCTATTTAAGGGATGAACTTTGACCAAAGAGGTACAGCACATAATGAAGATATTAGATAAATTCTCCCTTAATTTCTTCCAGATGGGCTGTTCCAAAGTTTAGTGATTCATAAGAACTTCAGGAAAATATTCCAAATGACCAAGGAATTAACTAAACTTGCTACAAACCCATGAGTAGCTCCGAACACCTATATTTTGGTGATCTTCTCTACTGCCTCACTTCCAATTATTCTTTCTGCTTACCAGAGATAGTGTTTCCCAATACAATATCAGTAGATAGATTAGTGGTGCCTCTTGTGTGTTTGTGGCAGGCTCAAGGGAACCTAGGCTGGTAAAAGTGGATTATTTCATTGGATGGTAAAGCAAGAAGTCAATGATGATTGTGAAAAAAATCAGGCATGGGACCCAGTAAGTTCAACATCCAGATTTGTTTGCAATCCCTAAGGACAGAGTCACATTGATCAAATATATATTGATAAATCATTTAGTCAGAATATTAATTTATCACTACTGTGAGAAATTTCAGTGGGTCCTTTGTCAAGAATTCCTGTATTGACGTAACCAAATGTATTCTATTCCTAAATCCAATGTTTATTATAAGAACTCAAAATATAATCTATAAAGGATGTTGGGATCCACTATGGGTTAAATTGTGTCCCCCAAAATTCAAATGTTGAAGTCTTAAAACAGAACTTTAAAGAATACCACTGTATTTGGAAATGTGGCCTTTAAAGAGGTAATTAAGATAAGATGAGGTCATATGGGTGGACTCTAATCCAATAGGACTAGTATCCTTATGAGATTAGCATACAGACATGCACAGAGGGAAGACCATGTGAAGAAAAAAGGGAGAAGACACAAGGCAAGAAGAGATAGTTTCAAAATGAAACTACTGAAAATTTTGACCCAGAAATGTAAGGAAATAATTTTCTGTTTAAGCCACCCATTCGGTGGTATTTATTACAGCCACCACTGCAAACAATTACAGGTCCATGAATTCAGAACAAGTCAAGTTAGTTACAGAACCCAAATAATATTTTTGGAATAAATTTGATTAATTCTGCTCCACAACAAAGGCAATTCTATCTTGTGGGTACTTCCCACAAGTTTAGTTTTTTTTCCGTTTGTTTAGTTTTTTCACTAAACATGAATGGTTTTTCCAGCTTCCACTTAAAAATCACTTGCAATTGGATTATTGCTGGTATACTTTTCATTAGAGAGGTTGACTTCAAGTGTGACTGTTCTTTTATTTTCATTTTCTGTTCCACATGGTTACTATTCTTGAATTTACATTAATGATTCTGTTGGAAAGAGGAAATTTATTTATTTTTTAGGTCTTCTTTCTGTAACAGTCAACTTAAAAGATTGCTTATAACACTGAAGTAGATTAAGTTGCAGCTTTGTATACATTTCTTCTTCTAACATAATTTTCCTAAAGCTAACCTAAGACTATAATTATATTTTATATATGCTATAAAAATTCTTTATTAAAAATTAATTACCCTAAGGAATAAGATTTACTTGAACATTTCTCAGGCATTAGTTTAGAGACTACCAATTCATATGTAACCTAAAACACTTTTTAGAAATGCTCTTAATTTATGTTAATGAATTCAATTTTACTAAACATTACTAATTAGAGTTCAAACAAGAAAAAATTCAGAACAAAAAAATCATAAAAACTACATTAGTATTACACTCATTTTAAAATATATTTCGCTTTCAATGTTATTTTTAAAAGTAAAAATTGGGTCTGGAGTTGTGGCTCAGTGGCAGACTGCTTGCCTAGCTGTGTGAGGCAGTGGGTTCAATTCTCAGCATTGCATATAAATAAATAAAATAAAGGTCTATTGACAATTAAAAACAAATTTAAAAAATAAAAATTGTGTGTAGGTCAATATATTATGTCTTCAATTTAATCTTTCTGTCTACATGTGCTTCTAGAAAATTGAAACTTGTCTCTTAATATATCTTAAATTTTGCAGAACTGTTATCAGATTGAAGCATTCCTATTCTCTGAGCTATAAGTCTTTTCCTGTGTTTCTCTACTAATATGTTACCATTTTGGTGAAATAATTTACCATTTCAATAATCATTTCACCCTTTTATCCTTCTGTGTTTTGGTGTCATACAAAAGAATAAATGAGTAATAATTAAAATTAAGTCTGCACGACTAATTTAAACAGAGAAAGCTTTTTAAAAAGCTTAAGTTTGGTGCACTTACCAAGAAGAAAATTTAATAAACCCAATGTTATCATCAGTAAGGGGAAAAAAGATATGAGAAATTCACAAATGGAATAATTAGTGAAAGTCAGTTTTATGTAAACTGTTAAAACTACTCCAAAATAATAATAATGAACAGACACAGTGCTTCTCAAATTCTGATGTGCATACCAATTACCTGAGGCTCTTATTAAAAAGGAAATTCTGATTCAGCAGCTTCACCATAAGGCCCCAAATCCTGCACTTTTTTTTTTTGCCATCCCAATAGTTTTATTTGTTTATTTATTTATTTTTTAGTTATACATGAGTAAAATATATTTTGACATATCATACATACATACATTTTACTAAACATTACTAATTAGAGTTCAAACAAGAAAAAATTCAGAACAAAAAAATCAAAAACTACATTAGTATTACACTCATTTTAAAATATATTTCGCTTTCAATGTTATTTTTAAAAGTAAAAATTGGGTCTGGAGTTGTGGCTCAGTGGCAGACTGCTTGCCTAGTATAATTCCCATTCTTATTGTACACAATATGGAGTTAATACTGGTTGTGTATTTATTATATATGAATATAGGAAAGTTATGTCCAATTATGCTACTCTCTTTCCCATTCCCATCCCTCCTTCCTTCCCCCCATTCTCCCCTGTTCAATCTTGTAAACCTCCACTCCTCTCTCCCCCTGCCTAGTGTTAGTCAGCATTCACATATCAGAGAGAACACTTGGCCTTTGGTTTTTTGGGGAATTGACTTATTTCACTTAGCATGATAGCCTCCAGTTCCATCCATTCTGTTGTGTACATGTACCACATTTTCTTTATCCATTTCCAAATTCTGCATTCTTAATAGGCTTAGTAACACCTATGCAGGTAATTAGTCCAAGAACACCCTTTTGAGTAGCAAGGACCTAGAATATTTACCTTACTCTGGGTAACCTGTGAAATGCTTGAGATTGATCTCAAATCAAATAAAAAAGTAATTTATAATCCTTGAACTCTTTAATGAACATTTATGAGTACCTAATATAATCAAGACCAGAAAGTCCCAAAATTTGGTCAGCATCACCTGGAAACTTATAATGCAAACCCTTGTGCCTCACCCCACACTTAGTGATGACTGAAGCAGATATTCTGGAGCTGGATTTCAGGAGTCTGTTTTAACTAGTTCTTCAGATGATTCTCGTACATTTAATTAAAAAAATATTTTTTTTAGTTGTAGATGAACACAACCTTTATTTATTTTTACACAGTGCTGAGGATAGAACCCAATGCCTTACACATACAAGGCATGCGCTCTGCCACTGAGACATAAGGGTTTGGGTGCAAATATGATTAAGCAACTCTTCCTTGCTTTTAGGAATCTCAATAGTTTTTTTTAAACAATCTCAATAGTAGAAAGGGGGCTGGGCTGCTAAATCAGTAAATACCATCAAGTATGCACTCAGTATGAAAAAAAAAAAAAAAAGAATGTCACATTGCCCAGGATATAAAGATTTCTTAGAAAAGGTCAGGTGAGTCTCATAGGGAGTTAGCCATTTGAAAATAATGATAGGTACAGTTGGCTCTCAGCATCTGCAAGTTTCGTATCAGTGGTTTTAACCAACCATCGAGCGAAATTTTTCAGAAAAAAAAAGTAAGTCTGTACTGAACATGCACACACACTTTTTTCCTTGTCACCATTTCCTAACCAATACTTACAATAACTGTTTATATAACACTTACAATAGTATTAGTTATTGATGCAACCACCAGGTATGCCTACCAAAGAGACCCTCTTTGTAAGATAATCTCCTCCAGGGAGTTTAATTAAGATCCTTGTCAGAAAGATTTTACAAAGAGTATCAATTTAGGATTTCACAGGTGTTCTGCAGAGAGCTCACTGTGGTTTGAAGCTTCCTCTTTCTTGTAAATGCCAAGTTTGCAGACAAAAGGTGTGA